ACACACACACACACACAGGAATACTCTTTAGCCATAAAAAGAATGACATCTTGCCACTTGGGACAACATGGATAGACTTTGAAGGCATTATGAAATAATTCAGAAGTAGAAAGACAAATACCATATTATCGCATTCATATGTGGAATTTAAAACAAACAAACAAACAAAACCAAGCTCATAGATTCAGAGAACAGATTGGCAGTTACCAGAGGTAGGGGTGGGTAAAACAGGTTAAGGAGGCCAAAAGGTACAAACTTCCAGTTAGAAAATATGTAAGTCATGGGGATGAAAGGCACAGCATGGTGACTATAATTAATTACATTGCATATTTGAAAATTGCTAAGAGAATAGATCTTAAAAGTTCTCAGCAAGAAAAAAATATTTTGTTAACTATTCATGGTGACATATGTTAACTAGATTTTTGTGGTGATCATTTTGCAATATATACAAATATAGAATCATTATGCTGTACACCTGAAGCTAATATAATGTTATATGTCAATTATACCTCTAAAATCTTTTAAATAATAAAATACACATTTGTATTTATATAGCACCTTCTTCTGAAGTATTCCAAACAGACTCCAGGTCCTCATTAGTTCCCACTAAGACTAATATGTTTAATGGAAATCATAACATCACCTCTGAATCGCATTTGACTAAGAAGGAAAATGACCCTAGGAAAGGACCCTGCTCTGTAACAGAGAAGTATATGGCAGGGACTGGATAGCAGGTAATGTCTGTTGATTTCCCCACCCAGAGTTCTTTTCCCTAAATTGCTCCCAGGGAATAAAGACAGGAGTATTTATAAAGAATCCCTTAGCTTCTGCTCCTATGTCTCTTACTTGCAATCATTAAAAATTTCTCCATCAGCCCCAAAGGCAATATCTAGGGGTGGCTCTAAAGTCTGCATTGCAAAGGCAATGCAACATATCTCCTGGATGAAGTTACTGAGAAGGCAAAAGTCAACTTCAGGAGGGAAGGAAATCTTGGGATTGACATTCATGGCTCGGATCACATCCTGAAAAACAAAAAGATGGCATCACCTTGTTACCAGCCTGTGACAAGGCACACTGACATTCCTAAGGGCATTATATGACTGATGGGAGGTGAGAAAAGAGTTTGTGAGTGAAAATAAGTTAAACTAGAAAAGGAGTGTGTGTGCTAAAAGGAGGGAGACTCATCAATGGAAGGAGGAAATATGACTGAGTATAAATGATATAGTAAAAGCCAAGAGAGTCTCCAAAAAAAAATTAAGAAAAAAGTCTTAGTGACTTTTATTTATTATTTCCTTATTTTTCTATTTTGGGCAAGTTATATGATTGCCAACACAAAACTCTGACTTGTTTGTAATCTATAATAATAATGATTATAATAGCTTGCTTTTATTTCGAGTTTACTTCATGCCAACTCTTGTGCTGAACAAATTATCTGCTTCTCCTTTCATTTAATCCTCTCAAGAACTTTCTGGGGTCATGACCATTGTTGCTCCCATTTAAAGATTAGAAAACTAAAGCACAGAGAGGTTAAGTAAATGGGCAAGGTCACACAGCTAGTAAGTGGCAGAGCTTGGATGCAAATCCACACTCATCTTTCCCGAAATCATTGCTCTTAAGCACTATGGCATTCTATCTTCCAATCTTAAGGGCCTGTCTAAAGAATAGAACTCTGAAGCTCAAAATATTTTTCCCCATAAAATGCCTAAGAAAGAAACAGCCAAGAATGACTGTTTCTACAAAGAACATTGGCTGCTGCTCTTTTCTGCTCTTCCATTATGGAGGAGCAATACTAAGCACTGGATGGAGTTGGGAGTTATTTGTATCCGGTGCAGACAGTAGCAGTAGTAATAAACCAGTTCCAATAAAAGACCTAACTTACATTAACACTGCTTTGGGAATCATACAGATCAAGATGACAAATGATATAATCCAAGACGGCATCCTCAAAGTCATTCGACCCCACATAAGACGGTGTTAATGATTTCCTCACCCGGATCTTGAAATGTCTGAATGCCATTTTAGCTACATGAAATGCCTCCTGCACATAAAAATACAGCAAATTTACTTGGTGGGAAGAGGGCAGGTAGAGAAGTCCACAGCAAGGAATGAAGAAAAAATGCCCATCAAAAACTTAACATCATATTGGTCTTCTGATAACTAAACCCAGGGGTCAAAACTGTTTCTAATCTGGGAGAAAAATCTAAATTTTGGAAAGTACATAAATACATAAATGACTACCCACGTTCACTAATTTCAAGACAGTTGACCATTGCTCTGGTAATTCTGATTGCAAGAAGCAGGACGGTGCATGCATTTAAGGAAATAAATCACGTGGTTATGTAACTACTTGAGGCAGTTTGATTGATGCCTTGACCCCACAGCAATACTATGATATTTACTGGTCAAGAAATAAGAGAAAACGATCAATCTAGTGCTCTTGTCATACATAGATGCATATCAAGGGTCCAGCATGTTCCCAGCGTTTATCAATTCAGCAAATATTTATTAAGTGCCTTTATTAATAGTAAGCATGGGGAAAACTCAGTTATGCATGAAAGATATGGCCTCTATAATTACAGAACTGTAACCAACTCAGTAAAAGTGATTCTTAATTATATAAACCAAAGGTTGGCAAACTTTTTTCTGTAAAAAGCCAGATAGTAAATATTTTACCCTTTGCAGGCCACGTAACTGTCTCTGTCACTTTTTTAAAATATGTCTACTATGTGCACATATGTCCATATTAGAAGATTCAGGGTTTTTAAAAAATCACTCTTTAAAGTGCAAAGTCATTGTTATATTTTAGCTCTTAGGTGGTATTTCTCTCAGTATCACAGGCCGGGCCAGACATGGCCCAGGGATCGTAGTTTGCTGACTCCTGATATAAATGAATAAATATAAGATAAAGTCCAGTAGATTCTGATAATTCTGCTCTCACACCAATGTTTTGTCTTGTTTTTTTAGCATTTAACAGTTCTCATTACATACTCCCAGTATCTCAAATATGGTACCCATAGAACAAATGCATTTGCTTTAGGAACTGAAGATTACATACAGGCACTTTTTAATCTGCCAGACTCAAGCAGCTGATATGTTAACAGTTTTAGTGACTACTCTTAGTTAAGTAAACAGAAGAGTTAACATAATCATAGCCTTTTAATTTTTCTAAGAATGAAAGTAACCAATCAAATGATAGCCCTTAGCAACAATACATCTACCGTGTGCGCATATGCCCATATTAGAAGACTCAGTGCAAATAACTTAGTATACAGCCATTTGAGATAGTCCTACATTTATGGATACTTCAACAAATACCTGGTCAATAGAATTATTAAGATATATGAATAGCTACTGAGTGTGAAAAATGATTCATCCCAAATATTCGTAACGAAAGGAAAGGAGGAAGGGAGGGAGGGAGGGGACAGATGGAAAACCCACCCTCCTTCAGCGACCTCAGGCTCTACCAGTTTTGTTAAACTGTCCCGTTCAGTTTCCCAAAGTGCCGCCTCCCCGCCGCGCCGGGGACCGCCGAGGTGCGGCGCACGTACCACGGTGGCGATGTAGATGATCCGCTGCACCGTCTCGGCTTTGTCGATGCAGCGCCGCAGCAGGCACTGCGCATCCAGGCGGGCCTGGGAATAGGCATCGCTGAAGCGGGACAGCAGGGCAGCCTTGCGCGCCACGTTGGACAGTTTGGCGCGATTTGGGGACGGGCTCCTGACCTTCGCGACTGCGGTGGAGGGGCTGGCGGACCGACTGCGGCTGCGGCTGCGGCTGTGGCTGTGGCTGCGGCTGTGGATCTGGCTGCGGCCGCGGCTCTGGCTGCGGCTGCGAGGGGCAGGGCTAGGAGACCGGCTCCTGGCGGACCTGTGGGTGAGCAAGAATCAGGCAGGAAGAGCTCTGATTCCCTTCTCTCTCCCGTTCTTGGATTTTTCGATACTTTGCCCCTCATAAGCCAGAAGCCATGGGAGCAAGGAGAGTACGCCTCCTTGGTCTCCACAGGGTCTCAGATAGGATCGCAAACAAGAAACAATACTCTGCATTCGCCTGGTGCATTAGAATTTATAACACACTTTCACTCACTCAGCACATCAACTTATCCTTCAAGCAACCCTCTAAGGTGAGCATTGATTGTTGGCCATTTTACAGATGAGAAACTTGAGGCTCAGAAGAGTTAAGGGGGCCACCCTAGAGTAACACTGCTAGCAAGAGCCAGAGGTACAGAAGTCAGATTTTCAGTATTTCTTACCCTAACTTTGGGCTACTAACACATCACTGAGCTTTATGGTATAAAATGAGATAAATGCTGATTGAACAATGAGAAAGAAAATCTGTGTTCTCCTTCCAGAGCAGTGGGACCGTTTGCAATCGTTTCTCCTCTCCAGATTCCTCATTTTCACCTACATAATGTTTGCCCTATTTCAGGATGGTAGTGAAAGATCAAGTGAGCTAATATATGTGGAAGTACTTAGTGAATCACAGAGTACTGTGTCAGTGAAACGCATACTCCTACCACGTACAAAGGGAATTGTCAGACTCGCTCGCCCAGAAGGAAGGGGCTGCCAAAACGGGGAGTTTTGCAGAAGAAACTATGGGGCAAAAGGTAGTGCAAATCAGACTCTCTGAAGGAGGGAGCGGGAAAAAAAAGCCCTCATATACAGCGTTTGCCAATTTCCATGGTGCAGCAAATACTCCCACCATAGCCAATTTCAAACTACCAATGTGGTATCACTGAACTCAGAGTTAGGTAGAAATGCCCAGAATTGGTTCTCAGAAGCCAGTACAAGCTGACACCAGCACAACACTGATGGAGTTATTTCCAAAAATGAAAGACTTAGGTGACATTTAGGGGATTGGAGGCCAGGAGGAGCAGGGGTGGTTTTGAGCCTGAATCAGGGCACACTGTGGGGCTGGGAGGGTAGGGGAAGAGGGAAGGTGTTAGAAAGAACCGGGAAAATGCAGACACTCCAGAGAGAAACACCCTGCTTTGTCCTCACTTAACACTGAATGAATGACCTGTCTTAACATTCTGTCCATCAGTAGAAGGGAATTTCACAAGAACACTTACCTGTACTATCAAACAAAGTGAGATTTTTAAAAAGGGAAATATCCTACAGTAAAATGACAATTGATCATCCCCGGAGAGAGGACTCCTAGGCCTCAGAGAACAGGACCCTCATATGATGGAACAGTCTTTCAACATGGGTACCACCTTTTGCAAATAAAGTGCTCAAATCTAGTATCAAGCCAAAGAACTTTCCTTTGCATGTCTCAGTTTCATTCCTTAAACTTCAATATCAACCTGAAATTAATTAGAGCCCAAGTATTGTCAATCTAGGCAGTGTTTTCTCTCTGGAAAGGTGCAGTTAAAGAAAACAATCCCTTTACAATTCACAGCTTCCCTAATGTTGGGGTTTGGGTTCAGGAAGTCATTTTACTTTTTTTCCCAAGCCAAGTTTTTATCACTAACTCAGCAAAAGGGGCTTAAATGAAAAGATCTGTGAGAATTTGTCAGACCTTCCTTGGAGTATAGATTTTTCAGCAGACAGAACAGCTATCTCGTCCTTCAGCGTTCGGAGCTGTTTCTCATAATTGTTTATCGTTTCTGCGTTGCGCTGGTCTACATTCCGTCTGTCGGCGCCCATCGGCTCCGAGTCCCGCAGCTCCACTCTCTTACGCTCGGAGCCCCGTTTCCCTGAGCTCCTATGCTCTGAGTGTCTGTGGCGGGAGTCCTCCTGGGCTTGAAGAGATTTAAGCCTGAACAAAAAAAAGATGTTTGAAAGAAAAGAGAGGGAGGGAGGGAGGAACAGTAACAAACAGCTATTGGCATACTTAACGAGTCTACTCTACTTAGCCTGCCATTCCTGCACTGCAGCTCGGATGGAAATGCATAGGAACCAACACAAATTGACAAAGAGCAGAATTGCCAGGGTCAGGATGCCACTTCATGTCTGCAGTTACATGGGAAAAGACTCCTGAAGAAAAGGCAGGAGTGCAAATCCTCTAGCCAAAGCAGAGTGGGCAGAGTCAAAGCAGAGTCATCCTATTCTGTATTGGACTGCTTCACTGCGCAAGACTCTGGAAGCACGTGACCTCCAAAACCTAGTCCAGAAGCTGGTCAAAGATATAATCTATTCTCACACACTCAGATTCTCTGAACCAGTGGGATATTGGGGCGGGGGACCTACAATGGAAACTGAATTACATCCACAATAATAGGCAGACATGTGGACTTACGAAAATAAGGTACTACGGAAACAAGCAAAGCTTTATAAACAAAATTGGCATCCTCATTAATACAAAGAGACATGGCCATGGTAAAAGGGAGCAAAAGCCATAAGAGAACATGCTGTGATGAAAATGACAATGGTGTAAGAAGACAAGGGAAGGGGTAAGATTAAGAAGGATGTAGAAAAGCTACAAATGCAATAGCAGAATTAAAAGCTGCGCTAGAAATAGTGAAAAACAGAATTGGTGCTATAGGGAATTGCTGAGTAATATGATTAAAGAATTTGAAGTGCTATATCAAACAGGAGATAAGAGGGTAAAATGATGATGAGAGGGGAGTTAGAAGTGGAAAGCAGAACATCGCTCCAAGCTAAAATTTATGGGTGTTCTGGAAGAAATCAGAATAACTGGAAGATGAATAAAGGCAATAGAGAGGTATTTTCTATTAAATATGTATGTATGTATTTTATTACAACTCCCATTTGCTCTTTTTTAAGGGAAAGATAAAAGTTAAGATTAAGAAAAGTATAACCTTAAAGGATCAGTATTTTTTCCCCTTCCAGAAATTTATCTTTAAAGAATAATCTGAAATTTAAACTAAGATTTGCCACAAAAATTATCACAATGTTATTTCCAATGTTGAAAATTGGCATCAAAGTAACTATTCAGTGTTAGAGAAATACCCAAATGCGGAAATATGATGTACCTATTTAAAAATCAAGCTCTGCTTTATTTTTGTTTAAATAATGTTAAATGAAAAAAATAGAGTCCAAAATTTATACTCATATTCTGTTGTCTTAACTTTAACGTTAAGACATTAATTTTTAGTGTACAAATTAGAAGAAATATCAAATGGTGACAGTAATTGACTCTGAAATTATGAGGGGTTTTAGGTTTCTTTCTACTATGTTGGGCTTTGAAGATTTTCTGTAGTAGATAGGTATTGTTTTTGTAGTAAGAAAAATATATAAAATGCTAATAAAAATATTGCTGTCTTTCTTCTTTGATTGTGAACAGATTCTTTCATATTGTAATGGAGCACCCAAAAAAGCTAAATTCAAAGATTAATCAGCAGGCTGCAATAATCCTGTCATTTTTTTTTTTTCTTACTGCTTTCTTAGCTGATTTATTTCCTCCTCTGCAGCCAAAAGGGATATGGCCGATCTGTTCTTGGTTTCTTCAAGAGTCTTTTCAGTTTCAGCCAGACTGTAAGAGAAATCAGTAACTAAAGACAGATTTTCCAAAATTGGCAGACCTTCTAAATCAAAGCATAGGTTCTCTCAGGAGCTTTTGCCATATGATATAAATTCAACATAAACAAGATCAAATTATAAGGCATCTGCATATAATCAGATGATACTACAAATAATATGGAGCACTGGTATGCAAAAACATGCTAGCATCTTGCATCTTTTCTTGATGTCAAACACAAAGAAAACAGAGCTACTATCCCTAAAAGGCTATGTAATAATTACTGATATTAGAAAGTAAAGGACAAAGAAACTTGTTCAGTTTCTTCTTTCTCACCCTCCAACTTCATCTGTAATCACATAAAATCCCCAGGTTGTCTCTCTATATAAAATTTCCATTTTTCTGTAATAAAGTAATAATCTATTCTTATTACTATGCACTGTAGAACTGCATTTGACTTAATTTTCCCAGACTTACTGAATATAAAAAAATTATTTGCCTACCTATAAAGTAATCCACTCCTACACTTGACTACCAAGTATTTCACATCTTTCTGCCTCTGACTTCCACAACTAATTGAGCACAATTTTCCTCAGTTTCCAACTTAGCTTGGTCACTGTTAGTTTCAAGGACTCTCTTCATTATAGGCAAATCATAATAAACCATACTATATCTTTAGGTTTCTCTAAATTAGAAAAAAAAATGAGGTGATGGATGATAATGAATGAAGACCAATAGTTCTCAAGGAAGTTATCCTAGTATGGTGACAGATCATGGGTTGGTAAAGGTTTCTTGACTTCTCTGACCCTACATCCTTGAGGGAACACCCAGGCACAGTAGTTCTGAGGCTAAAAGATAATGGCTGCTATCCAAACTCACACCAGTCGTCCTCCTTACACTGGGATAGAGAAAGGGCAGGTTGAACACTGGTCTCCCCTACAGAGTGAGCCAGATTGAGAAATAAAGGGCTAGCAGAATCTCTATCAAATCCCCACAGCTCCCAGCCAATCAGACAATACAAGAGATGGTGTGAGTTTGCCAAATTCCATCTCATCCTCTTCTCCTCCTCTAACAAATGCCCACGCATCCAATGAGTGCCTCTCCAAAGGCCACACAAAGCTTGCCTCCCCTTCTGAGCTCCTCCAACACGTGTTCCTATTTACAATCTCATTACACACACACTGTGAACTACTTGAGGGCAAAGGCTTGACTTTATTCATCTCTTTATCCCCAGCACCTAAAACAATGCTTATCATATAGTTTTTTTAACCTGAAAAATGAATGCATGAATGCATGAATGAATGAATGAAATGTCTCAAGTCTAAAAGAAAGCCAAAGTAGCAATAACTTCATGATAGGGCTACTGGAGGTTGAAGGGAAATTGCTGTGATTTAATTGCAATGTGAATATGTTATAGTTTTTTAAAGTGTATATTGGAAAATGAGCATTTTTATCAAGAAAACTGTGGAAAATTAAAAGAAGAAAACAGATCAGGAAAATAAGAAGAGAATGAATAGTAATCTTTTTTCTCTCGAAACATGGCATACGTGTGTGAGCACATATACATACAAGTAAACATCTATGCTAATTTGGCCCCCTTGGGTGACAGAGAGAAAGGGGGTATATTCATATGACAAGCATTGTTTTTAGCAGGCTAACATATTTTATTTATTTTTTATTATGGATTTATTCATCCATTGAACAAATTATTGAGAATTCACTAGGTGTCAGGCATGATGCTGGGGGCTGGAGATAACAACAGTGTCAGGATAGCATCCCAGAACGGTAATCCTTCAGAGCTTCCGGTCTAGTGGGTCATAAATAGGCAAATTTTTCAAGGTTCCAAATTGTTGTAAATGCAGTTCTTAAATTATAGTGAAAGAAATTAAAGGAAGGGAAGAGGAAAGATCGTTCAACGTAGAGTGGTCACAGACTCTGAGGAAGTCACGCTTAAACGGAGACCTGAAGGACCAGAAAAAGGCAGCCATGCCAAGAGCCGGCGGAAGACTTCCATTTTTCTGAAAGCGCATGCGCAAGGGCCTCAAGGTGAGGAAGTAGACGGTCAACTGGGTGAGGGGAGCTGGGCCGGAGATGAGGGTGGAGGGTGGGGCAGGACCAGGTAACGCAGGGCTGGGAGAATCCTGGGAAGGAATTTAGAAATTTTGTCTTAAGTATAGAAGGAAGCTCCTAACAGCTTTTAAGCCAGGGGATGACTTGACACGGCACAAAGATATCTATATTTGCAATGTAGAAAGTGGATTGTACTAGAGCAAAAACTGAAACAGGGAAGCCAGCTGGAAAGTTGGTTAAGACAAGAGGTAACAGAGGCTTGACCAAGGGCAATGGTGGGAGAATAGAAAGTAAGGAACGTGTGTGGGAGATGTTTAGGAGATAGATTCCACTGGATGTTCTTATAGATCAGATATAGGAAATGAAGACAAGTGAGATTTCTAACCAGGTCCAGACACAAAATCCAGTGGTCTACCCTTGTCTAGGGTTTGTCCCACCTACACAGACCTGTCCCCATTCAGCACTCTACCGAAATCTGCATCTTTGGAACTGAGTCACAGCCAAACTGGTCTCCACGAGGTTAGACATGGGAACTTCCTTGGGTGGGCAACTCATTCTACAGTAGGTAGCACCCTGGCTTTAGAGACAGGTAGGCTGAGTAGGAGAAGGAGGAGCGATCTGGCCACTATAGAACATGGGGAATAGCCTCCATCACTTCTGATGCCTTAAAAAATAGAAAATGAACCACACATGGGTTAAAAACAACCCAAAACAAAAGTAGGAAATTCAAGGAAAAGCAACAAGTAACTTCCTGTGTGCAACTTTCAAATGATGGGTGGTTTAAAAAAAAAGCATGCAGTCATAGTTTTGGGTCCATGATGCCCCTGGTGGGTAACTACAGAGCCACAGTGACAGGAGAGGAAGGTAGGAATTCCTGGCTCCTGTGGGTGCTGATTGAAGTCAAGAACCAGCAAGGTCTCTAAGCTTTCCCTGACAAGCAGAGGCAAATGGAGACAGCAGCAGGGGTCACTGAATGTCCCCAGGAAACTCAACCAGACAAGCCACAACTCAGCACCCATCAGCACAAGACGTTAGTGCTCAGGTGGAACGGAGGCAGCAAGAACCCAGAGGGCAGCACTAGACCGAGAGTCCCTCTCCTCCAGCACCCAGAGAGCGCGCAAGCATTCTCCACCAATAGATGCCAGTCTGTGGAAGGAGAAGGGCAATGAAGCCCCTTGGGAGGGCAAACACAGCCTCTAACAGAAGTTTGAGCTTGGAATTCATGGAATATTTACACAAAAGGAACTCTGCTAGACCCAAAAAGAAGTGGCAGATTTAAAGATCCTCCTTAGCCCTCCCCAAATCAGGTGACGTTCGTTGAAATAAGTCATAGAATTTCAGAGGAATTATGCTTTTTGCACATCACATTTATAAATTTTGACTGCTGCTGCTATTAAACCACCCATTGACCATGGCTCCAATTGGAAAAATGAATGAGGGTGTGTAGAAGTAACTGTATGTGTGTGCGTACACATGCTCCCACACACAAGGAAAAATGTCTGGAGTAAAATACGCCAAAATGTTAACAGGCATGAGATAATGGATGATTTTCATCTTTATGCTTTTATTTGTTATATGCATTTTGAGAAGGAAATGTGCACTACTTTTATAATAAATCAATCAATTAAGATGTTTTCCTTAGAAGGAAATCTCATCAAAGAACAAGGCCAAATGCCACACCCTCTTCCATCACAAGCCGTGACTAGTTAAAAAAGAAGCCCTGGCTGTCCTCTCCGTGTCAGCCTTGGGGCAGAGCCGTGGCAGGAGAAACATCTTGCTGACGGACTTTTGTGACATATGTTGAAAGCAGTTGCATCACATTTGTCTATCTGCCTCAAGTCCAAACCCAAAGTTTGCAATTTTCTTTGCAGTGATTCCTGGAGCTTGCTGCCCTGTCTTTGCATGTAGCATACATCTGACATCCCTGCCTGGTATTGCTTAACTGTTTTGAAATACATTTTTTTATATCTAACAGTTATTCCAAAATTTTGATTTGTTCTTGATCAGGCGTATCTACCCCTATCAGAGACAATCGATGGAGAGATGCAGCCTGCTTCATCTTACTTTTGCTGTCTTTCTCTTAGTTTTCCTCTTTACCTGATCTTGCACCCTCTTTTAACACTCCCCCTTCTGCATCTTTTCCTTTTTCCTCCCTCAAGATAGCTTATCGATGCAACGATCTTTCTCTTTTATAAATATGGGCTGATAGTGGGTATGGAGAAGAAATGGCCTCAGAAATGGAGCCAAGGGAACCAGCGTCTTAGGGATCATCATATAATATAGAAATCCTGTTCCCAAATTCAAAGACACTGACTCCCAACACACACACACACACACACACACACACACACACACACACACACACACATACTATT